ACTTTACTACTACCTGCTTTCTTATATATGCCCAGTTAATGCCCTTCATACTTATATCCTCATCTCCCACTGATATCAACAGAAGTTGTGCATGAAAAAACACACGTAAAAATTGAGAAATATTTACTCGCAGAACTATGTATGTACAATAAGTTTGCATATATACACACACACACACACATCCATAGGTAAAAGGTGTTTTCACATTTCCTAAAATGATCAAATACCTTACTTAAAAATATTTAACTATTCACTATAACACTCAAAACCACTCTGCAAAACCACCAGATGTGGTACTTTTACCATAACTTTGTAACACACTTTGTAACACACCCTTCTTGAAAGAATCAATTTACTATTCTTGTTAATGACTAAAAGCATGCTTGATGCATCAAGCATAGCCAAAAAGTCTACCAGCACTTAAATAACCCAGGACAGGCTGAGTATTGATTATGCATACACTCAGATGAACTACTTCCTTGATTAAAGTTAAACACATGGATCCAAAAAGATGAAAACCATATTATTCAGAGAAGACTTGAAGTAACTTCTGACAGTATTTTATTACATACAGATGATTTTATATTATTTTAGCTAAATCATCATGTCTTTAAACATTTACTTCTCTTTCATCCTGTTCATTTTCTCCTATTTCATAGCATCACAATACAAAATTAGCAATCCCTATACAATCTAAGTACCTCATGTCCAACACTTATCCTAACAGAATACTGTTTTACAATATTTTATCAAAATACTAGATTAAAAAAATTCATTAGGAAATACATATTTTGGAAGTAAAAGAGCATTTCGATTCCTACATCTTCACTGCTAAATGAATGTCCATTAAATTATATTTGAATTAGTTAAGCATACCATGCAGAAAAATAAAACCCTAAAAATATAAGAATATTCCGTACGCCTCAATTACAATTTTCAAAGTGCTTGTTAGCCAATTCGAGCAAAAGCAAGCAAGAAAATGTTCTTTCTTAACTGAAAAGAACTTTGGAATTAAACCACAAGAGAAATGTAAGGATAGTGGCATGGTTTTTCACAGGGTAGACTGTAATACTCAGCTTGCTTAGACCATACAGTATCAAGTTGCCCAAGCCAGCTGGAAGTGCACAGAAAGTCAGTGCTACAAATAACAAAAGCTACCCAGAGCATTACATTCAGACATTATGTTTTCTCCCTGGAGAAGCTCAAGGTATGAAAGGGTTTGTGCAATATTTTGTAATAAAAAGTAAAATCCAAGAGGAAAAAAAAATCCCTTCCTATTAAGCTCTCAACAAGTATGGACTGAATCAAAGAAAAGCATGCATTCTTTTCTGATGAGATCTGTCTGCTTTCATAGCATATAAAAAACATTGTATATTCTATAAGGCTGTATTCATTAATGTGCTTCACCAACTCAAAAGCCTGATTCAAGCACTGTCTTTTTGGCTTGGAAGTACTTTACACACATTTTGAAAGACTCTGAACGACCAAAGGCAACACAGGAAGCCCCTGCTAGAGCCTACAGATTCTACTTGTAAGGAAATCAAGTCTACAGACTATATTAATAGCACTCTACTGTGCACAAAATCACAATCCTGTAATAAGACTGATGATTGGAATCTTGTTCAATTTGCAGCAAACGGGAATACTGACAGTGGTTCCAGCTGCACCATAACCACAGTCTGTGTTGCAGTAAAGAACTGGAGAATTTACATGGAACCATTTGATTTTTATCTGTATTATTTGTATTTTTACTAGGGTTTTGGTCGCACTAGACCCAGTGTGAGCTCTAGCTTTACTGCATGATTCTTTCAGACAAGAAAAAAGAAACTGGGACAAAGAAAGCCAGGGCTTCTGCCTAGCCTCAGCCTGGATTAAGACCTTCATGAATGAGTTTAAGTAATTTCTAGTAGTGGTTCTACAAATTAGGTAACTGCCCTGTAGTTTGTTAACTTCATATTTCAAAAATCCAAGATCAATTTTTAATGGTATATCCAGCTTCACATTTATATAAATATGCATGTGAATAAGAAAATTTAGAAAAATTGATCTGGCTTCCAAAGCTTGTCTAATCTTATGTTATTCAGAACAGTATTCTTTTGTGAATTACTGATCATTTTATTATTCTGCTTTTAAATGCATGTAATACAGCTTACTGAAAGGAAACTGTAAATTTATCGGCACCCAGGACACTACCAAGTAAATGCCACTATGTCCCCATATCAGTTCCACTTAAAATTTTATAAGACTGGAAAACAACTATTTTCAAAGCTAGCAGGAACTTGAAAGAAACATGCCCCTTCGATGATAAAGACCACACAGAGTTACAGTGTTCACACAGTGCTGTTGAAGCTCTATTTCATAACATAAAAACTTATGTTATTTAACCTACAGAGATGTACACAGCTGGACCCTCCTAGTATTATGAAGTCCATGTCAGATCTACCTGGGATCCATCTGCATATACCTATTTAAAATGTCTCTACAGTGTGTTAAGTGCAATACTAATGAGACACAGCATAACGGATTTTAGATCTAGGTACCCCTAATTAAATTGTGCAAACAGTATTTGACTGTAAATTTGTAAAACAGACTGGTGAGAAATGTTAAATGTCAAGGCTACTTTAAACAACAGAGATCCATAAAGATACACTTCTTGTAAACTTATATTTTCAAAGCATTATTCTCCGGAGAAAGTATCCACAGCTTTTAATACAACATTGCAATTTAGAAAAAGTATCTTCTTAAAAAAAAACAAAACAAAACAATCTTTCTCAAAAATAATCTAAAGTCACAAGTAAGGAAACCTAATGCTTTATAAACTGCATGGAAGCTACTTCAAAAAGTTACGTGTGTTCCTCTGTAAGAAAGGAAACAGGAAGGCAGGAAAAGGATCCACAATAAAAGAGTAAATAACTATAGTATATTCCCCAAATACAAAAGGTCAGTGGAATTGAAGTGTTATGCTTCAGAGGATGGAAATTCACTCCAAGTAGAACTAGAAAGGAGACAGTGTATGACAGATAAAATACAAGTTGGGTAAGAGGCAGGCCAAAAGGAAAGAAGAGCAGACAGGAAAGAATATGAAAATAAGTACTATACTATTAGTATATCAGAAGCAGGAAGCTTTCAGGGGAATCACTGGATTTGCTAGAGCTGGGACTGAATAGAGCACTTGAAGATGATTCACGACAATCCAAATTATGTCTTTACATCTCCCTTTGTCATGGAAAATGTTGGAAAAACTCATACCTGACTTTTCTGATAAAGAAATGAACATTTCTTCAAGCTGCAAAATCCAAAGGGGTGAAGAGACAAAATAAATTGAAAGCAACAAATGATGAGGGATGGGTTCCTGTCCCACTCATGTTGACAGGTGTTTTACCATTGGTTTTAGCACTGACAGGCTTTTACCTCAGAACTGAACAGCAAAGGGACAAACAGACCAACAGCTTAAAAAAACGACAATGCTGAGCTGGGCATCACAGTGGTCACAAGAGCAATCAAAATAGTAGAATAGAAAAAGAATGAGATTAGGACAGCAAGAAACACAATATCCAATAAACAATTTCTTCTTGAGTATCTTTTCCACTTGGAGTTCCTCCTCAGAACCAATGACAGTGGCATAGCAGGAATTTGACAACAATCAAAAATTATCATGGAAGAAAACCTAAAAAGATGGAATGAACCAGGAAGTTAGCTTAGCAAACAGATGAATAAGAGGGAACACCTCAAAGAATACTACGAGATATAAGTAAACAGGATGCTCTTCAAACTAAGTTTTCTTATACTAGAACAAATGGAGAATCTGAGCAATAAAAATTTACCAAGTCAGAAAGACTGAAACATTTTACTGCATAAGCCACAAAACTGTGTCATTAATTTACAAGCACATCTCTGTGATAATAGCAAGGAATATTATCTTGCGCTTTTGCTATTGCTTTTCTTTCTTGTTTATACCCATATAAAAAAATTAGTGACATAGCAATAAACATAGACCTTCAGAACAACTGATTTAAGGGAACATGCCTTCCCCTTCCTCTTGTTCTAATGCATGAAACGTTTTAGGTTGAGATATTCCATGGGAGGCAAGATGAGGAATGGAGCATGGCTGCAGCAAGCCTGTGGACAGCTAGTAGAGATGTCCAAGAACATGCTCAGATTGCAGGGTGCTGCCTGTTCTGTGCTAGACCTTACACATGTAACACAGGTGGTGATGGCTCAGAAAGCTGCCAGCTGTTGGCACTGATATATTTGGTCCCAATCTAGAATTAAGACAGAAGCACTAAACTATCAATGTGTGAAATGTCTGACTTAAATTACAAGGTAGGGCCATCCAAAGACTCTCTTGCATAATTCATGACACTTCAGAACTTCACATATAAATCAAATACAAGGAAAGTCTATAATTTCTGTTCTGTTGAGCACAGATCCATGCACAATTTTCGTAATGGTTGCACAAACAAGCTCTCTAAAAAATACAGTATTACGGACATGATCTTCACAATGCTCATTCACACAGTTCCACAAGTAATTTTAGCACAATACCTTTAAATGGACTTTTCTACGAAAAACTACTCATAAGTCTCAAGGATACAGAGGTCACTAAAAATTACAAAATTAGTCTGGCTTGAGGGTGTGTGTTTGTGTTTTCCAAATGAATGATTACAAACACTCTTTTGCAATTTTTTTCCATTTCGGACTTAGTCAAATTTTATTCTATGATCCATGGGCTTGCTATTAATCATTTCATCTGTCTAACACCATAGAAAAAGAAACTACAGACTCTGCAAAGCTTCCATGCTTCCTAAGAGGCTCCAAAACCATCAAAGTTATGTTCTCCAAGCTCAACGATAAACTTGGACCTATTTTCAACCTTGAAATGTTGAGTAAGTCTGATACAAATTAAGTGCAAAACTGTTCAGTGTTGCGTAAGAATTAATGCTATCAATAAAAACACATGTAAGTGGAAACATACTGCTTCAGAAATAACCTTGACTTACTGTGGCTGTGCCGGAGACAGTTTGTGCATTTGTGTCAGCTGCACTCTGTTCGGAGTGTGTCTGAGCAGAAGGGTACATGTTTAACGTGTGCTCTGGAACAGTGGTTTGGCCTGTGTAGTCTGGAGCTGGATGAGGATGTGGGGCTGTGTATTCTGCAGGGATACCATTCTGAGGTGGCGCAAACTGGGCTGAGGCATAAGGCTGTGCCATTGTGTCAGGAGGTGCTGTAGCTTCCTGATTACCCTGTAAAAATCAAAGGAAAAAAAGGAAGAAGAAATGTGACGTGAGATAAAATAAGCTATTATCCTGCACAGGTAACACAGAAAGTGATGGCAGTGTTCTGTTAAGACTGTTGGCCTGAAAAGGGCACAATGGTTGTTCCTTGAAGAGAAAATTTCTTATCTGAATTAAATCCACTTTGCTAACCCTATTAAATCTCATTATATTTAGACAAAAAAAATCTGCTGTTCTCTGGATAATTGTAGACTATTCTTCAACTAGGAAAGGTCAATGCCTCAACTCGGACAATGAAGAGCAACAAAGCTTGGTTTATTCCAGAGGATACAGAGTACAACTGCCAATGCAGGACTCTGACAGGCTAGCCCATAGTGTGCGATCCATCCTGACTTACCATCTGCATAACACAATACATACAATCTACACATAGAGCAGGATCTGGATGCATACTGTTAACATAACTGTATACTGAAAATAATTATATGAAATAATGTTCTATGAGATATTTAGAAATACTCTCATGTACACTGTATTGAACAACTGCATGCTACAAACACAAAAAAAGATATCCAATCAAAATATTAAACATTTGAATCTAAAAATGCATCAGAGATAAAAGATTTAAATTAAGATAAAAATCTTTAAAGAAAATTTCTATGTTGCAGGCTGTCAATAGAAATAGATTTAAAAGTTTTAAAAGCTTTAAATATGAAGACAATTGTATTTCATTTGCATATTGCAATTAAATGCCTTCATCTTTTTTTAGGTAGACCTATCTTTCTGTCTGATGGATAGTTGAGCATGTTCATTTATCAGTCAGTGACTTCTGACTCAGTGCTCTGCTTATACCACACAGTAACTTTAGGGGAAGAAACATATACAATAGTCTTTCAGAAACTTTATAAAAGATGTCCAAAACATGATGCTATAGATGACACAGCATTAGAGGCCATTAATACAGGGACAACCTAAAACTCAAGATGAGCTGGTACGCAAGATAAAATTTTCCCTCTAAATATCAAGCAGTGTAAAAATGAATATTTGAGTAAGAGTTCAATTATTTTTTAAAATACTATGTTATTATTCCAACAAAGCATGCACAAGTACTTGAACAGGACTACTGTAAGGATTTTGCTTATTTGTACTCATCAGAACTTGATTTCCTCATTTCAAAATAGGCTGGCTAAATAAAAGACATTCTTTTACATTTCATATTTAAGAACATTTTCAGCCAATTTCAAGTAATTCAGACATCAGTTCTCTGACGTGACTGGTCCTAAAGTCAAGAGCTTTTAAGAATTTGCAAAATCACAGCACAGGAATACAGCTTTGTACATGGCAGATTTAGAAGGGAGAAATAAATTTTCCTTTGCAAAGGCATTTAGCGTGCCCTAAAAAATTAAAACTTTATATCAGCAACCAAACCCTCCCTAATTTTATTACTATCTTTGCTGCTATTTCAGTGTTTGGTCTTGAGCAAGTAGTTTACTTTGCTTTATTCAACCATCTTTAAAATGAAAACAGTGACATTTACCTCCTTCACAGGGTTAAGTCACTAAGGTTCATTTGCATACATCTACAAGCATTTCAAGGTTAATGCTACACTGAAAATTGCCCTTTTTAGCTTTCAGTGGAGGTCAAAAAACTCTTGTAAACGTATACTTATACCCCCTTATATTAAAATGACAAGGTCCCTTTTCTTGTTTCTTTTACCTAACATTTTCACTATTAAAAAAAAAAAAGAAAATCCAGATGAAGTTAAACCCAGCAATGACTGGATTACACAAGAGACATTTATTAAATGTTAAAGAAGTATTTTTAAAACTTGTGAAGAAGGCAAGTGACCTTAAATTTTTTAATCAACTGTTTCAGGAATGACTTCAGCAAGTAGTAAGAATGAACAACAGCAGGCCAAACTTCTGCCTATATAAGCATTTTCACTGTGCTGGCTTTGAAACATGGTAGCTGATAACTGCTGGTCCTTAAGCTATCCCTTCATGTCAAATGTTAAACACCCCATTAGAGTTAGCAGCTGTTAAAAAAAGAACAGTAATGGCAACAAAGGAACCAAGGGCTAATGTCCAGGTGCCCTTGATCTAAAGGTTTTTATACTACTCAAGTCCTAAACCAGATGTTGCTGAGCCCCCTACTGTTTCTCATTAACCTTGACAGCAGTTCCATGAGACCCTAATTAGTATTCAAAGCATTCACACTCAGTGCTAATTACAGCTAATATTTAATTAAGAGGGTTGAACTTCTATATTAGTTTTACCAGCAAACTCCAAACAATTCACTTCTTAGATTTATCGTGAAAGGGCAAACTGTGCTGGCAGTTCCAGCACCTTCACAGTGCTGAGACTCTTCTGCCTCTTTTGTTAGACTTGTTGAGGTCTGGATCACTTATTATTACCTGAGATCTCATTAATAAGTCAATAGTGAAGGGCCAGGGGTTGGTTTGGTTTTGTCTGGATTTTGGTTTGGTTTGGTTTGTTTGTTTGCTTTATATATATGCAACTTCTAGGTACTTTGGGATTTACAGCCTTGCCATTAAACAAGCACATAAACCTCACCATTTTTAACATACAAAACTGGCATGCAAGATCTCTACTTGCATTGCATGGTCATTAAATTCTCTGCTTTTTTTGGGGGGGGGGGAGAGGTGGGAGGAAAGGATAGAAACACAAAATTATACTTGCACACTCTACTGCGGGCCTCAAGTTTAAAATGATAACAACAACAAATCTGAGTTGTTAATCTCTTAAAATCAGTGTCTATTGTAGCCTTTCTTTGCCTTTAAAAACCTGCGTGAATTTATAATTCACAATTAATTAAATAAACACAGTATTACAATGAAGTATAAAAGCATGTATGTATAAACATTTTTTCTACTACTTACATGGGTATCAAGCCAATAGCTTATTGTTGAGAATATGAATTTATTTCAAGAACAATGCAGTGTCAGCTAGATACACATTTGTATATACATGTGGTTGATGGAAAACCCAGACTACACACCAGTCAGATACATTTGAGTACATTTTAAAGAATCTTTAAATATAATACCTAAAATGTCCCTTTGTGTTCCTTAAAATTCAGTGATCTTAAACAAATAAATGGAATGATAGATTGAATGCATTAACACGAAAATACCAAACAGCCCTAAAATCAACAGGAAATACTGAGGTTAAATTAGCCTATGAACTCAGGTATCAGAGTAATCTCCAAACTGTGGGCGACAGTATACAGACATGAGAAGCTAAACAGAAGTTGCCCCTTCAGACTCAGTTTCAAGTATCTTTAAGATTAAACGATCCCTTAATGCTCACTTTGTGCATTTAAAAAAAAAAAAAAAAAAGTAGCTGTTGGCAACAGAAAGAAGAACAAAGGATGGCAGACAGTCAGGCTCTGCTAAATGTTCTGGCCCGAGTTTTAATGAAAACCACATTTCAACTGAAAAATATGCTTTACGTGGCAGTGTATAAAATCCGATTTATTGCTTTCTGGTTAAATGTTGAACTCTAAAGAACAAAACGAGAAAAGATTCCAACGATGCAGGTAAGTGAAGCCGCTCCTATTCCATATATATTAACTCTACTCGAAGAAAAGCTTAGAATTTAAAAAATGCTCCTAGTATCTCAGATCTCAACATGCCTTTTCAGCATCTTCTGCTCTGAAAGGATTTCATAATTAAGAAACACATGAAAAGTGTCAAAACATAATAAAGCAAGCTTGTTGTATTTGTACACAAAAGACAGAGCACAGAAAACATTACTTATGCAGTGTTCCACATTTGCAGCATAAAAACCTATTCAATGAAAACCTTTCTGCTTGCCTGCATTTTAAAGTCTAACTAACAGTTTATTGTTTGTTTTAGTCTATTTTCTGTTTGGTGCACTCTGTTTCTTTGGCAAGAGATATTTCACATTTAGAGAAAGCCTCTCATAGTGTAGTTAAATGAGCCAAACTGCATCATATCCTTAGGGCACGGAAACAAGAAAAATGCAGCATTGCTCTGTAAACCTGCTGGTTATAAGAATGGCTCCGTTAGATATATCAAGCATAGCAGATATATAATCACCGCCATTGTTTGCTCTCCTTCAGACTTAAGCAATAAAACATGTATTAGAAGACTTGCATGCAGTGGTGCAGCTGGTTACGAGAAATGCCCTGGCTTGACTAAAAACATGAGTTTCAAGTGAAAATAAAAGTGAAAATACCTGCTGTACCATCCTGCTCCCTTTATTCTCCATAAACTTAGCAGCTGCTCTAGTCCCAGGCCATACAGCATCTGCCCAAAGCAAGCATCAATTACAGATGAGGGCGTGTGAGCAATGCAATGTGTGCCTGAGTGTGGATGATAGGGGTGTCGAAGGAGGGGGAGCTAATGCCGGGCTTACTGACCTCCCTCTCAACATCTGACTGCTCCCAAAACCTAATCCAGATGGGAATCTTTCAGTTTGCTGGGCCTCGCCCCATCAATCACAGCAGGCCACTCCTCTGTCTCCTGCTACTAGTTATAGAGTGCACCACTGAGCAGATGATTACACAAGGAAGAAAAAACACAGCTTGACTACATTAATACCTGTTTAAAAACATCAGAAATGCTATTATGTAGATGCCAGAAGCTGAACATTTTTGCTTTAAAATTAAGACAGCTATATTCAAAGTTACAACCCCTGCTAAACAGCCAGTGCTTTGGCTTTTTGATAGCCACAATGTACAGCAACATGTGTGCGTTTCTATGTGATTAATTCATCTGACATGTGGTAGAGAAAATACCAATAAGTTTTCTATTTTAAAACTGCTGAACTCTACAAGTAAACCATCAATATTGAACTAGCCTGGTTTAGATTAAATGTACTTTATCCTTCCATACAAATGAAATATTGTTTCCTTTTTTGTTTCATTTCATGACATCCCTCTTGCTTAGCAGGGAAATATTTCAGAAATGCTTCCAAGGCTTACTTCTGTGAGACACTTTAAGCAGCTCCCTTTAAGCAACACTT